CCTCTTTTGAGTCACTGCATCCGTAGGTGTAGGTCAAGTTATCAAATTGTATCAGATCACTCTTTTTTTCCTCTTCTTTCTTCTCCTGGTTGAGCTCTGATCATCCAGTCATCCGGTCCAGGTCACGTGGGTACCATCTGCAAGTGTGGGCATTCTTGTGCTCATGCCCTCTCTTCCCATCAGCCAGTAGCTCCACTCTCCACTTGAGTCCTCCGTGGCCACATCACGGACTCTGGACCCAAGAGTCAGTCCCCAGGTCTCCTCACACTGCTTGCCAACCAGGTCCCCTGGGTATATGGCAACTTTTTTCTTTCGGAGTTTTTCATATGTCATTCCATTGCCTTTTTGCCTTCATGGTTTATGCTGATAAATAAGAGCTTGATCTTATTGGCTCTTCTTTGAAGGTAACTTCGTTTCTCCCAAGATGTTCTCAGGATTCTTAACTTGTCTGTGATTTTGGAAAGTTTGATTATGCTATGTCTTGGTGATTTTCTTATTTTGGGATATATCCTGTTTGGGGTTCATTCAGCTTCTTGTATGCTTATCTTCTCATCATTCATGATGTTAGGGGAAGTTTTCTTCTAAAAACTCTAAGCATTTTCTCTGTGCGTGTCTCTTTCTGTTCTGGAATTCTAGTTACCGGTAAATTGTTCCTCCTCATGGTGTCTTGCATAATGCTTATTATCTATCTGTTAACTCATTTGTATAATTATAATTTTGATTCCTGTGTAATTTTATTTTTGCTTTAAGAAAGCTAGATATTTTTTAGTGTAATTTCAAAATTTACATGCAGAACCAATTAGTAATACTTCTCATTTTTATAGAGATTTTGATGGGCTTACGTTTATGTAGTTCACTACCATGAAAACATGAGAGGACTTCAAAAAGTTTATGTTAAGATTCTATTGTCTTTTTACTCCATTTCGTCACAATATTTTGGAGCCCTATTATAGAATTGCAGTATTTGTTCTGCAATTTTAAAAAGACTTTCCTGTTTTCTCTTCATAGGTATGCATTCTTCAGCAACAACTGAGCTGTTTGTTACTGGATCTTTGCCAACCACTGGAACACTTCCACCATCTGCCCTCTCTGCTTATCAGCAGCCCACCACCTTCAGCAACAGAAATTTTGCTACCACTTCACCTTTGGTGCTTCAGGACTCAACTTTTAACACTACGTCAAATGGAATTTTAAATTCTCATGATCCTTTGCTACCAATCAAGACATCCCAGGGAACTGTTTCAACTGCTTTGGCATTTGAGCGCCTGGGCAGTTCTGCATTAAGTAACAGCATACCACCTCAGTCTTCAACATACCGCTCAGCTCAAGAGTCTGCACCCCATCTTTTACAACCTCAGTTTAGTTTGTTGCCTTCTGCACTTGGAGGACCCCAACAAACTCCTCAAGCCTACAGTTCAACACTCTTTTCTAGTTCTACTGCTTCCATTGAAAGAGCTCTTCTTCGAGAATGTAGTGTAATTAAACACCATCAGCGGCCTTTAGGTACCCAGTCTATTCAGGCACAACTGACTGGTTCACAGAATTCCTTACATAGTTACCTATCAAATGCAAGTGTAGTTAATTTTCAGGAAACAACCAGGCAGTCCTCTTTATCCTGTAGCTCTATTGGAGATTCTACTCAGGTGAGCAATGGAGGATTGCAACAGAAGACCTCCCAGGTTTCAGTTGAACTTGCTCAATCTTACTCATCTACAATTCCATCACCAGGGTATCCTCCTACTACAAAAGTAAAAAACTGTACTTTAAAACAACCTCCAAGATCAACTAAGACCCCCAAACCTCAAAGTATAATTCCTCCTTTGCAAACACTAAACTATTCCAAACACTTACATAACCAGAGTTCTGTGATACCGGGTCAAGCACAAATTTATTCTACAGCGCAGCTACCAAGCCTTTTATCAGTTAGTCAATCCCAAAATTATGGTGTTGTACAACCACATAATGTGCCATCTATTGTTCATTCACAGGTTTATAGGTCTAGCAAGGTTGAAAAGTTGCCATCTTTATATAAAACACTGAATTTTTCTGGATCATCACAAAGTGCTTCTGAAAATCAGACACTTAGTTACTCTTCTAATCAGCAACAAGTATTATCTTCTGTTACAAGTGAGAACTACCCTGCCCAAACAAGAGATTTGTCTTCCATTAGTCAGTCTCAAAGTTATTCATCTGGTCACTCTCAGGGCTTATCACCAGTTAGCCAGTCACAGGTTAGCTATTCATCTCAATCACAAGTTTTGTCAGTTAGTCCTTCAGAAAGCTATGCTTCAGGACAGTCTCTAGCCCTAACAGCCCCTTCTCTTTCATATTCCTCTGCCTCTCGAGCTCAGAATTTGCCAGTGTCTAGCCCAACCCAGAATTATATTTCTGCGCATTCTTCCCAAAATGCTCAGACTCCAGGGTCGTCATCTCCCCAGTCCCAAAAATATTTGCCTGCTGCTCAGTTAACGTCTTTTGCAACTTCTACTCATTGTCAGACATTACAGAATAGCTTACCTTCCCCTGATCCAAAGTCTTATTCCGAAAGAAAACTTGACTCAAATGTGTATACGTCTTCAAAGCAAGAAGATGATTTTCCAATGCAAGAGTTACAGGTGTTACAGCCACAAACACCTCTTGATTCATCAACCCAAAGGCTATCTGATGGAGAAATTAATGCTCAAGAATCAGCTTATAAGGTATCAAAGGCAGATGAAAGGTATTCTCAGAGTGTAATCAGAAGTAATTCTCGTCTTGAAGATCAAGTTGTTGGGATTGCTATGCAAGGGTCAAAGAAAGAAGAAAACATGGTTGGAGCTGTGACACAACTTAGTCAACAAATTGGCCAAGCCAATAATACACCAGCCCTTGATATTAAAAAGGCAACTAATTTAATGCAAGCTCCACAAATCAGATTGAATGCAAAAGACCTAAATGAGCAACATTCTCGTTTGCATAAGGTCCATGAAACCAAGATCCAGGAACAGCATGATCAAATAATTAATGCTTCATCTCAGATTCACATTCCTACTCATGTTTTAGGGCATGGCCATCAGGTGTCTGTTCCTAACACACAGGTCCTTTTAGACTCTGCTTGTGATTTACAAATTCTTCAGCAGTCATTACTCCAGGCAGGTTTAGCACAAGTAAAGGCATCTTTACAAGTACAGCGTGTTCAGAGTCCTCAACAAATAGCACATCCTTTCCTTCAAATGGATGGTCATATTATTCAGAGCAATGGTGATCAACCTCAGCAGCAACTCCATCCTCAAAATTCCGAGATTATGAAAATGGACCTCTCTGAGTCTTCAAAACCATTACAACAGCATCTAACCACAAAGGACCATTTTAATGAAACAAATCAGAATGATTCAAAGAATCAATTTGTTTCTCTTGGATCAATATGTTTTCCAGACACAATGCTTCTTAGTGATGAAAGAAATATTTTATCAAATGTAGATGATATCTTAGCAGCCACAGCAGCAGCTTGTGGAGTTACACCTGAGTTTTCCAAGTCAGCTTCAAATGAAACCATTCAGGCTGTTGAAGACAGTGATTCTAAATCTCATTTTCAGCAAGCATTAGATGTCAGGCATGTGACTTCAGATTTTAACTCCATAACAGCCACAGTGGGAAAACCACAGAATATAAATGAGATTTCTTTAAATGGAAGTCAGATTACCATAAACCTTTCACCAGTACCTACTCTTCAGTCAAAAATGACTCTTGAACCAAAGCATATTGAAACACCTGATCAAAATATAGCATCTAAAATAACTTCATCAGTGGTTGGACCAAGTCATGAAGGCCAGGAGCAAATTTCTGGCATTATGAAAAAACAGTCTACTACCAATCATGAATCTGAAGAAAATAGTGATGTTCCTGTTGATAATCTATTAAATAACAGGAACCAGGAGCTTGTCTCTAGTAGTAGAAGTGTAAGTGGAGAGAGTGCTGCATCCGAGAGTGACTTTACCTTAGGGGGTGATGACAGTGGTGTGCCAGTGAACCCTGAGAGGAGTGCACTTGCACTGTTGGCCATGACCCAGCCTGGGGATGCAATCAGTGTCAAGACAGAAGAAGAAAATCAGGACTTAATGCATTTTAACCTGCAAAAGAAAAAAGCTAAAGGAAAAGGGCAAATTAAAGAGGAAGACAACAATAATCAAAAACAAGTGAAAAGACCTACCCAAGGCAAACGTCAGAATCCAAGGGGAACAGATACGTATTTACCATATACTCCTCCTTCCTCAGAAAGCTGCCATGATGGTTATCAGCATCAAGAAAAAATGAGACAGAAGATCAAAGAAGTAGAGGAAAAACAGCCAGAGGTCAAGACAGGATTTATTGCCTCTTTCTTAGATTTTCTGAAATCTGGGCCCAAGCAACAGTTTTCTACTCTTGCTGTACGGATGCCTAACAGGACTAGAAAACCAGGGACCCAGATTGTTCGTACACTTTGTCCTCCACCACTTCCAAAGACTTTCTCCACAACACCCATGTCATTAGTGTCTGAAACAGGGAATAATAGTCCTTCAGAAAAAGTTGATAATGAACTTAAAAATTTGGAACATTTATCTTCCTTTTCTTCTGATGAAGAAGATCCTGGAGTATGCAGTCATGATATTTACAAAAGTATCTCTACTAACTTAACTGCTTTGGATGCTGCTTCTGATAAAAAGAAGAAAACAGGTAAAGTTTTAAATTTTAGATGCATAATTATAACGTTCCACTATTATTTTTGTAGCTATAGTCTGGATTTTAAGCTTTTTAAAAATATTCAGGACAAAATGCAAAGGTAAGTAAGTTATCTTAGAGACTTGTTTTTTAAAATGTCCCTTTTTTCTAAAGGAAAGTGCTGGGTTTTATGTTGCCTAGTTCTGTTTTTTTCTTGACTTTTCACTGCATGCAGTATAATTTACACACTATACTACCCACACTTCTATAATGTGAGACATTATAGGGTAGTTTATGGATATGAGACATTGTATTGGGGGCCCTATTGTACTAGTGTTGTTGTTACGTGCTGTGGAGTCGATTCCGACTCATAGCGATCCTGCATAGGGTTTCCCTAGGAGCGGCTGGTGTTTTTAAACTACCGACTTTGCAGTCTGAGTGTTTCTCCTACAGCTCCATACCACGACTCCTGCTGTACTAATATCTTGATACAAAATTGTACCTGAAGATTAACATTTCACTATTAAATATGGTTAATTAAATTTATGAAAAATTATTAAGATAAATATAATTTTTTGCTTATTGCTTTCTAAATGGACAAATATTTGAGTGTGCATTTTATTTTATTCTCCACTACCTTTCTTCTGTCAAAATGGACACATTTTTAAGGAGCATGGTTTTATGTAAACAATTGGCAGCTAAGTATAAAAGTTAGTATTTTAAGGGACATGCTAAGGAAAAATACTTAATAGCAATAATGTAGCCACCACCTTTGTGTCAGTAGTAGTGTTGTGCGATAATGCAGTGATATCTCCAATAAACTGATGATGCAACTGAGAATAAATGGCTCCCCAGCTGTTATGTGGCAGAGCTGGACTCTGAATCCAGGATTGATGGTTCTACATCCTGGATTCCTGCTCAGTTCTTTTGTATAAAGAGAATGGTGGTAAACTTTATTTTGTGATGTCTTTTCTGTTTCTCTCTGGACTACGTTAACTGCTGTCGAATCGGTTCCAACTCATAGTAACCCTTTTTAGGGTTTCCAAGGCGTAGCTGATGGGTTTGAACCCCTGACCTTGTGGTTCACAGTCCAGTGCTGATCGTACAGCACCACATCCTGGACTATAGAGTACATTTTACTACTAGATTGAGGTGAAACATTTGGTATACCAAGTAACCTATTACCATAAATGCCTGATACTGCTTTTCTATAGAGTTCTTATCTTGTTACAGAAGAGAATCAGCGTAATACAAAGTTCAATCATAGAATGAAAGACGTGTGGGCCTAATCCTAGTAGGGGCTTACACTCCCTCTTCTCCCATTTATAATATTTTATAATTGCTAATATATTCCCTCTTACATTCCTAGAACAAATCTTTTATAATCTCTCTCTCTTTTTTTCAATGTTTTATTGTGAATTATGTGATAGTTTACATGTGAGAACATTAGTTTTACATTCATTCCATCATATATCGTCTCTCATTGCCATGGTTACAATCCCCTCCATGCAATCCCGGACCCCCCCACCCCCCAGGTCTTCAGCACACAGTCGCTCTTCCTCTCTGGATCTAAAGTCTCCAGCTGCTCCATCGCTCCATGTCATCATCTCTGGCTCCATTTCAGACATCACTGCTTCTCTGGGTAGGGTCCCACTCTCTGCTCTTCTCCCTTGATGGTCCCAGGGACCTCTGCTCCTAAACTGAAAAGTTAATCACTCCCCTCCTTGCTATAAAACGTCTACCTTTACGTTTCCGATCCTCACAATCAGTCCTGATAACCATTATTCAATATTGTATCACAAGAGACCCGTCTGCATTTCATTGCATCAACCCCGCCTAGACAGATTGAATACTACTCACTGGAGACTCTACCTTCCTCCATGCCCTCTGTATCTAGGTTCCCTCTTGAAAGCTTGTAAGCCAGTCACTTCTTGCCTTTGTAGCCCCCCACCCCCCATTTTGGGTAGCCAATGTCCAAGTTGCCCATCCCTGTCTACTCTGTGTGGGAATGATTCTTGCTGTAAGGACTTGTTCCCTCTTTTGAGCTACTGCTTCCATAGGTGTAGGTCAAGTTCATCAAATTGTACGAGTATACTTTTTTTTTTCCTCTTCTTTTTACTTCTGGTTGAGCTCTGATCATCCAGTCACTGAAGCCAGGATAAGTGGGTATTATCTGCAAGTGTGGGTGTTCTTATGCATATGCCCTCTCTTCTTATCAGCTGGACGCTTCACTCTCCACTCTAGTCCTCTGTGGCTATGTCACTGACTCTGGGTCCAAGAGTCCCCAGGTCTTGCCATACTGCTGGCCAACCAGGTCTTCACCCGGGTTCACAGAAGTCTGTTGAATATTGTAGGGCTTAGCTCACTGCTTCATTGCTGTTTTTCCTTCACTTCCCCTTATCGGTGTCGAGCGTGGTCACCAATCACAGCAAGACACTGAGTCTTAGTCTTGGAAGGGGGTTTGCACTGAGGGGACCCGACCACTTGCCTTGATGTTCCCTGGCAAATCTTTTATAATCTCTTGGGGATCTTCCTCTTTTTCTCTGACCCTACGCCTTACCAAGCATGATATCCTTCTCCAGCGACTGGTCCTTACTGACAATATGACCGAAGTATAAGAGATGAAGTTTGGCCATCCTGGCCTCCAAGGAGCACTCTGGCTGCACTTCTTTCCAAACGGATCTATAGGTTCTTTTGGCAGCCCATGGCACTTTCAATATTCTACTCCAACATCATAACTCAAAGCATCAATTCTTCTACGGTCTTCCTTATTCACTGTCCAGCTTTTCGCATGGCGTGAAAATACCATGGCGTGGGTCAGACGCACCTTAGTCCTCAAGCTGACATCTTCGCTCTTCAACACTTTAAAAAGGTCTTGTGCAGTAGATTTGCCTGATGCAATACATCATTTGATTTCTTGACTGCTGCTTCCATGAATTTCCTCGGAATCTTTATATATATAGTACTTAAATATTTGTGAAAACATACTTTTATATTCTAATTTATTTATTGATGTTTGCATGTGATTAGATTAGCGTATGGGCCTCTTACGTAATTTGGGTAAAACTGTGAGCTTTGGAGTTAAATCACCTAGATAGAAATTCTGGCTTTAGTAACTGTGTGACTTTAGGCCCATAGTTTATGTATAATGCAGGGATAATATAGTAGATAGTGTCTGCCTCCAGGGTCTCTGAGAGGATTCAAAGACATAAAACATTTAGCTTGATACATTAATTTATTGCTATTTTACTATGTTCATCTGGTGACTCAATGGCTAAATGCTTGCTTGCTAGCATAAAGGTCTGTAGTTCAAACCCATCCAACATTTCTGTGGGAGAAAAGACCTGGTGATAATGTTATTGCTAAGTGCTGTCAAGTTGGTTCCAACCCACAACTACCCTGTATAGGGTTTCCAAGGAGTGGCTGGTGAGCTTGAAACTCCAATCTTTTTTAAAACCAACTTTGTAGTTCAGCACATCAACCTACAGTACCACACCAGTACTCCCATAAAGATAAAAATCTCCCATAAAGATCACAGCTTAGGTAACTATGGGTCAGTTCTACTCTGCCCTATAGGGTCACTGTGAATCCAAATTGACTTCAGGGTACATACAACACACTCCTGATTGTATGTCTAAGGCCTGAAACACATTAGGTACTCAGTAAATACTTGTTGAATGAATGAGGATGTTTAAAAGAAAAATAGAACATTGGTAAAAGTTAAACAGGTGGGTTTTGCTGTCTTAATTTTGTGATTAGAATTTTGAGTTTTGCACAGACATTGCATAATGTCAAATGTTGTTGTTGTTAAATACTGTCAAGTCGGTTCCGACCTATAATGACTCTTTTTAGGGTTTCTGAAGAGCGGCTGGTAAACTTGAACCGCTGACCTTGTGGATCAAACCACCTTTGCAGTTCAGTGCATTAATCCACAGTGCAACACCAGGATACCATAATGTCAAATGTTATTGTTGTTAAGTGCTGTCAAGTTGGTTCCCACCCATAGCGACCCTATATAGGGTTTACGATAGATGGAATGAAATCACAGAGAGAATATGATGGACCTGTGGTATTCCATATTCCAATATTTCATGGTAAATAAGAACCTTAAAGGGTGACGTGATCTTTCAAGTGATACCAACATGTGAACGCTTGTCAGTTTTCTGGATTGTAGGATTTTCACTAGCTTTATGTCCTTCTGCTATAGCCATTTTTAGCATATCGTAAAGGAGGTGTCCTTAGTTACAGATGTTTCCTGCTGTTGGTTTAAATTATTCCGATGCTTAAATATCCTATTCCTTGCTCTAAAATAATAGTGTTGTCTAGTAAATAAAAATAATTTTTGTGATGAAATAGTTGTCTGAAAATTATTTTCTATTTCCATTACGAAATTGCATTATGAAAAAAAAAAACATTGACCCTGGGCTAGGATCTCATTGTAAACTAAATGCAAAACTCAGGCAAGATGATGCACGATTGTCTGATACTCTCATTTCTATATTTACATGACTGAGTAGAATATATAAAGAAGGGAACCTGCTGCTATCAAGTCGATTCCGTAAATCCTTACAGGAGCAGACAGCCTCATCTTTCTCCTTCAGAGCAGCTGATGGGTTTGAACTGCCAACCTTAAATTTTGGGACTAGGGAAAGCTGCTACTTCACCAATTTCTACTTCCTTCAGATCAAGCTCCAGTGCAATATAAAACTAGTTTTTGCACAACTGAACTGTTCATGAATCTATATCAAGTAATTTAGTGTCTACAGTAGAAATAGTCTGTTAGGTTTATGCTAATAAAGGTTAGTTTCAATTTGCTTCCATTCAAAGTGAAAGGTATATTTCTTAAAATAGAGACTAAGCTAAAGAACTTAGTTTTATTTCTTCCTTTACTACTTGTGCCTTTTTGATTTGTACAGACTGTGACTTCTAGTTTGATGTTGAATTTGTGGACATTCTTGCCTTGTCCATGATTTATGAGAAAGAAGTGAGTCTTTTACCATTTAGTATGTTGACTA